GGTGTTGTCAAACGGGCAGCGTCAATCGCGACGCTCCTGCACGACAAAGCTTTGAGGTGCTAGCACTGGAGGTACAATTGTACATACGTGTCGTTCAGTGGTTCAAATTATGCATCCATGGACCGCATTCTGGGAGAGATCGCAACCGCACTGGCAGTGCGCCAGCGAAATGCCGCAGCCTTAGCGCGCCTGGACAAGGATTTCTTTGAGATTCTAAGCGATTGCGAAGACCGTCTCCGCGAGGGCTTGCACACCATCAGCCCCGTAGTGTTTGTGCACGTCATGGACTCGCTGCTTTTGCGCCGCGGCAGCGTGAGCGGCGAGGGCTGTGCACCAAGGAGTGCCCTCGATGCGGCAGTCAACAGATTGGAGGTGGGTGACGTTGCACCTCACCGCGCCTCGCCCCCCGATTCGCACTCACGCACGAGCAGCCTGCGTGATGGGAATGGCGACAGCGCCCAGCCACAGACTTCACGCATTGCATGCCTTGCTGGCTCCACCTGGCACCAACTTCCCAGCACTTTGACACCATAAACCTTTCTGTATCCACTTCTCAGGGCATGCTCCCCAACCATCCCTCCTTGACAGATGGACGTCATGAACTTCCTGCATTACTCCGCTGCCCCTGACAACTGCATTTATGCGACCCTCCGCACGCCCGCCTGCGCCGCCGCCGCCGCCGCCGCGGCCGTGCGTGCGGACGAGGTTGCGCACGCCACAGGCGCGTACGCCGCAGATGGAGGCGGCCACCTCGGGCTCATGGGGCGGACGCGCGTGCTGATGCTCAATCGAATCATCAGGGAGACCTTTCGCCTCGACGCCCACGCCGCGCTGCCCGCCGCCGCCGCCGTGCTGCGGACGCCGGGGGCGCCCGAGGCGCTGCTGCGCGCCGGGCTGCTGCCGCGCGAGCGTCAGGGGTTCCGCAAGCCAAACTCGTGGGAGGAGGACCCTCTGTGGCCGTTTCTGAGCCTGGCGCGCGTTTTCGTCGTCGCCGCGCATAGTGCTAACGGCCCGCTGCAGCCCGACGCCGACTGCCGCGCCGCGCTTGCCGCGTGGGCGGGGGCGCTATCGCGCATTGCACCGCTGTTCATCGACGTCGTCTGCACCCGCCTCGCGGAGGGCGCGGAGCGGGCGGAGCCCGCCGCGCTGCTGGCTGGGGTGTTGCTGGGCCACGCCAAATCAGAGGCGACGGCGCCGCTCGGCGCCGCTATGCTGGCGCATGCGTCGGCCCTCCTCCCGCCGCTTGCGGCGCACGCGCAGCACCCAGTCGCAACGCCGAGAGCCCGGCTCCTGGTGTGGGGCGCCCTGGCAAGCCTTCTCTCCTCTGATTGTGGCGCCGCGCTCGCCGCCGCGTGTGGCAGGGACCTCGCCAAGCACGCGCTTGCCTTCCTCGGCCGGCCCGCCCGCTGGGCCGCCGCATGCGGCAGCGCCGCGGCTGCGTCAAGCCCCGAGGCGCTTATGGGCGGCAGCGACGAGGCCGCGGCGCTCAAAGCAGCCTCGCGTGCGCTGTGGCAGCTGGCGAACGCGGACACCGCCTTTGTTGCTTGCGGGCACCCGCTGCACAGCCGCATCGCCGCAGTGCCTGGCGCGGCGGCGGCGCTTGTGGCGGCGGCGCGGGCGTGGCTAGCCGCGGCGCGGGCGAGTGACGAAGCACCTGCTGACGGGAGCACAGACGTAGCTCACGGGCGCGTGTGTGCCACAATTGTGTCGTTGGCAGAGTCTGAGGAGATATTCATCCAGGAAACGCGCGGCAGCGGAGGCGCGGGCGACGTGGATGGCAGCGCGTGGCTGAGCACACTGCGGCGCCTCGGCGCCGTGCCGCTGCTGGCGGCCGCGCTGGCCGTGCCTGGGCTCAACGGCGAGCACCGCGCCGAAGTCGCTTTCGCAGTGGCGGCGCTGCTGTATGGCTGCGAACAGGGGCAGCAACCGGCGGCGTGGGAGGAGGCCAGCACGGCGGCCGGCACGGATGTGCCAGGCCTGCGGCGGCGCGTCTGGACGGCACTTGTGAATGCGCCATACTGCGACTCTGCCTGCTGGATGAGGCGGCTGTTCGTGTTTTGGCGGCGGTGCAGGGGTGACATGGCCGCCACGCCCTTTGCGCTCTCGGTCATTGCTCAGTGCACATGCACAGAGACAGAGAATGCAGAGGCTGCTGAGAAATTGCTTTGGGACATCGAGGCGTGGGCGGCGCGGGAGTGGGCAGAGTGCGGCGACGGCGGCGGCGACTTGGGCGGCGGCTGCGACGGCGGGCGCAGCGTTGGTGTGGAGAGGGCACGCGCGGAGGGCAGTCTGTGTGGCAGCCTTTTGAAACACATCCCGCAGGGAAGGCCAATGGGAGCGCCGCAAGCAGCTCACGTGTCGCACGCAGAGCAGGCGCTGGAGTCGCTGCTGCGCTGGGCCTCGCAGGGTGCTCGCACAGAGGGGCCGGCGGGGCGCGCGGCGTTGATTGAGAAGGAGGCGCGAGACGCGCTGACGCACGTGCGCTCCAGGCGACAGACGCTGGGGCTGACGGTGGATGAGCAGCAGCAGCTGCAACAGCAGCAGCAGGTGTTGCAGCCGCAGCAGCAGCAGCAGCAGCAGCAGCAGCAGCAGGTAGTGCAGCAGCAGCAACAGCAGCCGCAGCAGCAGCAGCAGGTGGTGCAGCAGCAGCAGCAGCAGCACGTAGTGCAACAGCAGCAGCAGCAGCAGCAGCAGCAGCAGCAGCAGGAGCTGCAGGAGGAGGATCAATGCAAGCAGGCAGTTGTAGGGCCATCCACAGTGTCACCATCAGGGCAGCCACGCCAGCTGCACGCCGGCAACGTCGTTGATCGGCGGCGGGTCGCTGTGTGCGCAGCGTGCGGGACGGCCGAGGGCGCCGCAGGTGTGCGGCTACACCTGTGCCGCGGCTGCCGTCTGGCGTGGTTCTGCTCTGACGCGTGTTACAAGGGCTACTGGCCGGCGCACAAGGCGGCGTGCCGCGAGGAGCAGGCGCGGCGGGCGGGGCAGGCTTCGTAGATGGTCCGTGATTAGCTTGCTGCCAAAGGCTCTTTGATCGAAAAATTTTCCACTTTCAAGCCTGGAATTTCGGACTTATAATCAACTTCCTCATGATTTCACGTGACCTCTTCAAGCAATCCCACCACCCTTGTCCAGCAGCTGGGCGCGCAGCCTCTGCCCAGCTCGCTCGCGAGCGTCGCGTCGCGGGCGGCTGCGGTGACCGCCTTGGCACCAATGGCGCTGGGGCCCATAGCTGGCGCGCAGGCCGGCGGAGGCGGCCCCGAGGGGTGCAACCAGCTCCGCCACCTGGGCGCGGCGCTCTGCGAGTGTGCGCTGTCCGTGTGGATAGACAGATAGAGGGGAGGATCGCAGGGCATGCATGTGTGTCCCCGCGCAAACGCTTACTGGCTGCTTGTGTGTCGGCCGCCGCACGGCGCGCCGCCGCACAAGCGGCGGTTTCGAGCTTGACGGCTTTGTCGAGCTGGTCTATGTCCTGTTTTACGGTCACCAATGCCTCCATTTGAACACCAATCCCGCAGCTGCCAGAAGTCAACAATGGCGCGAATTGATCTGACGCCCCAATCTCTACAGTGTACCAGCTGCATTCCAGCTCTTCCTGCCCAACAATTTGCTGCCTGTGTTATTGACATGAAATCTGACAGTGCACGCGAGTTGACCGAGCCTGGGTATGAAGGCGCGCCAAGCACACGTGCACATGCAATGTCAATCTTGCTTTCCTTGCCCCTGTGTCTGTCCTGATCATACCTGAATTTTGCTATAGCATAAGTTCTTAGAATCATGCTGGCGTGTCATCATCTCTGGAACTGCAACGGGGCTGCTGTCGTTTGCAGTCACAGTCCTGTCGTGAGAAGTAGGCAAGAGTTGTGAGGCACATTCGGAAAGGTGTGGAATAGGCCGTGTAACCAGTAGCTGCTCAGTCACATTGCACGGTTGGAGGAGGCGACTGGCATGGGAGGATCCCTGGGCTGGTCAGCCACTGTGCTGGCTGGTGCCATGCGTGAGAAGCACCCAGCGGCCAAGGCATCTGTACAGCACCGGTACTTCCTGCTGCGGTCATGGCCACATTCTAGCGCCACAATCAAAAAGCGTTTGCCGCATGCGTAAGAGGCCCGCGGCCAGTGAGCTGCCAATGTATACGTTGGTGTACGTTGGCACAGCGTTGCCCACACAGTTGAGCAGTGATGAAGGCACGTCAACTGCGACGCTCCCGCACAACAACGTCTTCAGGTGCTAGCGCTTGAGGTACGATTGAATATTCGTGTCATATATTGTTTCAACCTTGCTCAGCCACCATGGACCGCCTTCTGGCCGAGATCGCCACCGCACTGGTGGCACCCCAGGCAAACACCGCGGCCTTAGAGCGCCTGGACAAGCAGTTCAACAAGAAAATGAGTAATTCTCGTGACCCAATCCGTGAGGGCTTGGATATCATCAGCCCTGCAGTGTTCGTGCAGGTGATGGATTCGCTTTTTGTGCGTCGCGGGGGCGCGAGCGGCAACGGCGGTGCGCCAAGAAGTGCCTTCGATGAAGCTGTCAGCCAATTGGAGGTGGGTGATGCCATTTCTTGCGGTGTCCCGCGCCCTGATTAGATGCGCACACAACAGGAGCCTGCGTGGCGGGGAATGGACAATTTCAGCGCCCACCAACTTCCCACAGGGTCACACGTCGCAAACTCCACCTGCCAACACTTTCCTACCAGTACATATTTAAAATCATTCTTGTGCCGACATAATGGCGCTCTCCTCAACCGTTCCTCTATGACAGGGCACTGTAGTGAGGTTCCTGCATTTCATCGCCGCCCGCGGCAGCCCAACATACGACGCCCTCCGCACGCCGGCCTGCGCCGCCGCCGCCGCCGCCGCGGCAGCGCGCGCGGACACGAGCTTGCGCGCCGGGGGCGCGTACGCTGCGGACGGGGGCGGCTACCCCGGGGTCACGGGGCGAAAGCGCGTGCTGCAACTCAACCGGGTCGTCAGGGAGATCTTCCAGGATGACACCCCGCACGCCGTGCTGCCCGCCGTAGCCGCCGTGCTGCGGACGCCCGGCGCGGTAGAGGCGCTGCTGCGCGCCGGGCTGCTGCCGCCGCCCAGTGAGCAGGAGGAGCGCGGCGGCGGGCTGCGGCCCGAGCCGGGCTCGCTGGAGGGGGACCATTTGTGGCCGTTCCTGAGTGTGGCGCACGTCGTCACCAACGTCGCGGAGGAGATTGATATTGGCGCGCTGCAGCCCGACGCCGACAGCCGCGCCGCGCTCGCCGCGTGGGCGGAAGCGCAGCCGCGCGTCGCGCCGCTGTTCGTGGACGTCCTCAGGACCCGCCTCGCGGAGGGCGGGGTGCGCGCGGAGGCCGCCGTGCACCTGGCTGCGCTGCTGCTGGGCTTCGGCGGCGAACAAGACCCAGAGGCGCCGGTCGTCGTCGCGTTATTGGAACACGCACCGGCGCTCCTCCCGAGGCTTGCGGCGCACGCGCAGCACCCAATCGCGTCGCCTACTACTCAGAACCTGGTGTGGTGCGCCATAGCAAGCCTGCTCTCCTCCGACAGCCGCGCCGCTGTCGTCGCCGCGTGTGGCAGGGACCTCGCCAAGCACGCGCTTGCGTTCATTGGCCGGCCCGCCCGCTGGGCTGCGGGCGGCGGCGCCGCGGCCACTCTAAGCCTTGATGAGCCTGTAGAGGGCAGCGACGACGAATTTGCAATCAACGAAGCCTCCCGCGCGCTGTTTGAAGTGGCGCGCGTGAAGGCGACGGCCGTTGTCAACGGGCGCCTGCCGCCCAGCTGCGTTGCCGCGGTGCCTGGCGCAGCGGCGGCTCTTGTGGCGGGGGCGCGCGCGTGGCTGGCGGCAGCGCGGGCTAGGGACGAAGCGTCTGGAATGGGGAGCACCGACACAGCCCACGAGTACGTCTGCGCCACGATTGCAGCTGTCGCAGAAGGCGAGCTGTTAGCAGAAGTTGAGAACATTGCCAGCCGTGCAACAAGCAGCTGCAGCGGCGGCGGCGGCGGCGGAGGAGGAGGAGGAGGAGGAGGAGGCGGAGGCGCAGCTGACGTGGATTGCAGTGCGTGGGCGTGCACGCTGCGGCGGCTCGGCGCGCTGCCGCTGCTGGCGGCCGCTCTGGCCGTGCCTGGGCTCAACCAGAGGCACAGCGCAGAGGCCGCGTTTGCACTGGCGCTGCTGCTTTATGGATGCGGACAGGGACAGCAACCGGCTGCGTGGGAGGAGGCCAGCGCGGCGGCCGGCACGGATGCGTCAGGCCTGCGGCGGCGCGTCTGGACGGCGTTTATGAATGCACCAGACGGCAGCGGCGTCTGCTTGATGAGGCGGCTCTCCATATTGCGGTCCTGCTGCAGGGGTGACATGGCCGCCGCGCCCTTTGCGCTATCTTTCGTCGCTCAGTGCACGTACATGTGTTCACGGGAGATAACTGCAGAGGCTGCTGCGAACCTGCTTTGGGACGTCGAGGCATGGGCGGCGAGGGAGTGGGCACAGTGCGGCGACGGGGGCGACCGCGGCGGCGGTGGCGACTTGCGCAGCGGCTACGGCGGCCGGTGCAGCGGCGGTATGGAGAGGGCATGCGCGGAGGGCCGTCTGTGCCGCAGCCTTCCCGATCACACCCCGCAGGGAGGGCCAATGGAAGCGGCGCAAGCGGCTCACGTGTCGCGCGCAGAGCAGGCGCTGGTGTCGCTGCTGCGCTGGGCCTCGCAGGGTGCTCGCGCAGGGGGGGCGGCTGCACGCGCATCGTTGGTTGAGGAGGAGGCGCGAGACGCACTAGCGCACCTGCGCTCCCGGTGTCGGCCGCTGGGGCTCACGGTTGAGGGGGAGGGACTGGCGCAGCAGCAGCAGGAACAACAGGATGAGCAGCAGCAGCAGCAGGGGCAGCAGGAGCAGCAGGGGCAGCAGCACGAGCAGCCGCAGCATGAGCAGCAGCAGCATGAGCAGCAGCAGCATGAGCAGCAGCAGCATGAGCAGCAGCAGCATGAGCAGCCGCAGCATGAGCAGCATGAGCAGCAGCAGCAGCAGCAGCAGCAGCAGCAGCAGCAGCAGCAGTCACAGCAGCAACAGCACTTGGATCAGGTGAAAGAGCAGCAGCACGTGCAGCGAGGGCAAATTCAGCAGCAGTTTCAGCAGCTACAAATGCAGGGGCAGTTTGAGCAGCAGCTGCAGCAGCTGCATGATGAGCAGGAGGATCACAACAAGCAGGCAGTTGCAGGGCCATCCACAACATCAGCAGCAGGGCAGCCACGTCAGCCGCACGCCGGCAGCTTCGTGGGCGGGCGGCGGGTCGCTGTGTGCGCAGCGTGCGGCACGCCCGAGAGCGCCACGGGGGGCCGGCTGCACCTGTGCCGCGGCTGCCGTCTGGCGTGGTTCTGCTCTGACGCGTGCTACAGGGGCTTCTGGCCGACGCACAAAGTGGCGTGCCGCGAGGAGCAGGCGCGCCGGGCGGGGCAGGCAGCTTCAAAGATGGGCCGTGTGTAGCACGTTGCCAGCAGCTTGTTGATCGTGGGAGGTTGTTTGCTGTCAAGCCTTATTCTTGTACTTATCATCGACTCCCTTTAAGATTGACATCGCATCCCTTCTTGAGAAAAACCACGACCTCTTTCGAGCAGCCAGGCGCGCGCACTGCCATCCCTCCCGCATCGACGCGGACGCGTCCTCAGTTGACACGCAGCCTGTTTGATTGCGCACCACTTAGTGCAATGCAGCAATCTCACATTGATCGTGCATGTCACGGCCACGCTTGCACAACATGCACGGGCGCTCTTCTCCAAGCAAACCGCCACCTTCCACAGCAGCTGCCGCCCGCACTCGACTTTTGGGGGCAGACTGTAACCTGCATTCTGCGGTTTTGCCGCCGCGCGCCACGTGCTGCTGTGGCGCTCCACTGGGTAACCCAAGAGTCTGGGACCGCATCATGACCAGGCGCGCCGCGCTTGCCTCCTTGAAACCACAACCGGCGGGCCAGCGGGCCAGCCGAGCTGCAAGGGGGAGGGGCTGATTTTGCAGACAGGCAAAGCGCCCACAGGATGGCACGGCTGGCTTGCACTGCTCCCTGCCGCTGCCGGCCTTGTTTCCTGCCGCTGCCTTGGCCCGTGCAGCCACAGTCCATGCGGCCAGCGCCGCCTCGTCTGCCGCGCCAGGGGCGGAGGCGGCGGCGGCAAGCGCGAGCCAACACGTCACAATCATGCAGGCACTGGATCCCGCCGATGTGCAAGCACCCATGCTTGCGACTGTTGTGTCTGCAAGCCCATTCAGGGCAGTGTCACCTCCATCAACGCCCTGCTTGATCGCACCTCTAATCACTGCCTCAACGACGACCGCGGCCAGCTGCGCCTCAGCTTTTGCCACCTTCTTCCTCCCACCCCTGACCTCCCCCCGCCGCGCAGCATGCGCAGCCTCCACACCGCCTCGCGCCACAGTGCAGCTCACCGGCAGCCGTAGCGCCGGTCATCGCTCCTAGGGCTGGGGCCCCTAGCCGGCGCGCAGGCCCGCGGAGGAGGACTCAAGAAACGCGACCAGCGCCGCCGCCTGGGTGCGGCGCTCAGAGACCCCACGCTGTGCATGTGAGCATGGAGAGCCGTTGGGGAAGGGTTGCTTGCGGATTGCACACGCATTCAATTCGTCACGGATCCCGCAGCTGCAAGATATCATTATTGGCGCGAATTGATGTGACAACCCGAATCTGGCAGTGTACCAGCTACATTGAAGTTCATCCTGCCTGGGACAAGTTGACGTTCTCATCAACATGTCAATATGACGTCACATGCGACTAGCCTGAGCCTGGGTGTACCATGTAGAGGTATGCCCAGTACACGTGCACATGCACCGTCAACCTTGCTTGCTTTGCTCCTTTCTATGTCCTGATCATTCCTGCTTGAAATCCCAGCACAAATGGTAACAATAATCCTGGTACCGTTGAATACATGAACTTGAGAGAGGCTCCTGCTGTCGTTGCAGTGCCAGTCCTGTCAGCAATGCGGTAAGCAGGCTGCCAGAGTTGTGTGGCACGTGCGTGAGGATGCAAAGGAGTTCGTGTAAACAGACAGCTGAGTTTCACGTGCACGTTGGAGGAGGCGGCTGGCACGGAAGGATTTCCAAGCTGGTGGGCCGTTGGGCTGGCTGGCGCTGTGACGGAGAAGCACACAGCGGCCGCCGGTGTTTGTATTCAACTGTCGCAGTCATGACCTTAGCGCCACATGCAAAACTGATATTGCCGCACGCATACCTGGTTTGCCGCCAGGAAGCTTTATGATACATTCGTACAGCATGACCCACGAAGTGGGTGTCGCTCGGGCGCGTCCTGTGCACGTCAACTGCGGTGCCCCCACCCGGCAAGGACTTGAGAGCGCTGGCAGGTGCCAGCGCTTGATGTTCGGTTGACTGTGCGTGTCATATGTTGTTTAACCCTTGCTCATACACCATGGACCGCCTTCTGGGCGAGATCGCCACCGCAGTGCGATCACCCCGGGCAAACGCCGCGGCCTTAGAGCGCCTGAATCTAGATTTCAATCTGAAATTGAAAAATTCCAGTGACCCTATCCGCGACGGCTTGGACACCATCAGCCCTGCAGTGTTCGTTCACGTGCTTGATTCGCTGCTTGTGCGCCGCGGCCGCGCGAGCGGCAATGCCGGGGCGCCAAGCAGTGCCTTCGATGCAGCTGTCAGCCGATTCGAGGTGGGTGGCGCTATACCTTGAGGCGCGCCGCGCCCTGACTAGATGCGCACACAAGAGGAGCCCGCATGGCGGGAAATGGACACCAGCGCCCACCAACTTCTCACAGGGTCATGCCTCGCAAACTCCACTTGCCACCTTTTCTCAACAATTCAAATCCAACCCCTTTATTGTGTCAATGTACTGTAGTAAGGCACACTCCTCAACCGTCCCTCCACGACAGGGCTCCGTGATAAGGGTCCTGCACTTCGTCGCCGCTCGTGGCAGCGGCGCGTATGACGCTCTCCGCACGCCCGCCTGCGCAGCCGCCGCCGCCGCCGCGGCCGCTCGTGCGGACGCGGCCGCGTGCGCCGCGGGCGCGTACACTGCAGACGGAGGCGGCTACGTCGGGTTCACAGGGCGGAGGCGCGTGCTGCTGCTCAACCGGATTGTCAGGGAGACCCTGCACGAAGACGCCCACGCCGCGCTGCCCGCCGCCGCCGCCGTGCTGCGGACGCCCGGCGCGCCCGAGGCGCTGCTGCGCGCCGGGCTGCTGCCGCCGCCGAGCGAGGCGGAGGAGCGCGGCTGCTGGCGGCGGTGCGAGCGGAATTCGCTGGAGGGGGACCATCTGTGGCCGTTCCTGAGTCTGGTTCACATGATCACCAACGTCGCGGAGCATGTCGCTGACGGCACGCTGCAGCCCGACGCCGACAGCCGCGCCGCCCTCGCGGCGTGGGCGGCGGCGCAGCCGCGCGTCGCGCCGCTGTTCATTGACGTTCTCAGGACCCGCCTCGCGCAGGGCGCGGTAGGCGCGGAGCCCGCCGCGATGCTGGCCGGGCTGCTGCTGCGCCCTAGCGTCGCGCAAGGGGCAGAGGCGCCGATCAGCGCCGCGTTATTGGCGCACGCGCCGGCCATCCTACCGAAGCTCGCGGCGCACACGCAGCAACCAGTCGTGTGTCAAGCGACTCGGAGCATGGCGTGGTGCGCCATCGCAAGCCTGCTATCCTCCAACAGCCGCGCCGCGGTCGTCGCCGCGTGCGGGAGGGATCTAGCCAAGCACGCGCTCGCCTTCCTCGGCCGCCCTGCCCGCTGGGCCGCCAGCAGCGGCGCCGCGGCCGCCCCAGGCCCCGATGCGCCTATGGACGACAGCGTCGACGCCTTTGCGCTCAACGACGCCTCCCGCGTGCTGTTTGAAGTGGCGCGCGCGGAGGCGACGGCCGTTTTTGACGGCCGCCTGCCCCTCAGCTGCGTTGCCGCAGTGCCTGGTGCGGCTGCGGCGCTTGTGGCGGGGGCGCGCGCGTGGCTGGCGGCAGCGCGGGCTAGGGACGAAGCATCTGGAAAGGGGAGCACAGACACAGCCCACGCGTACGTGTGTGCCACGATCGCATTCGTTGCAGAAGTCGAGCAGTCAGCAGAACTTGAGGGCATTGCCAGGCGTGCCACAAGCAGCTGCGGCGGCGGCGGCGGAGGGAAAGGAGGAGGAGGAGGCGCAGGCGGCGGCGATGAGCAGGGCAGCGCGTGGTTGTGCTCACTACGGCGCCTCGGCGCGCCCCCGCTGCTGGCGGCCGCGCTGGCCGTGCCTGGGGTTGACAGCAGGCACAGCAAGGATGTCGCGTTTGCGCTGGCGCTGCTGCTGTATGAATGCGGACAGGGACAGCAAGCGGCTGCGTGGGAGGAGGCCGGCACGGCGGCCGGCACAGATGCGTCCGGCCTGCGGCGGCGCATTTGGACGGCGCTTATGAATGATCCAGGCCGTAACGGCGTCTGCTTGATGCGGTGGCTCTGCTTACTTCGGTCATGCTGCAGTGGTGACATGGCCGCCACGCCGTTTGCGCTCTCGTTCATCACTCAGTGCACGTACATGTGTGCACAGGAACTAGCTGCAGAGGCTGCTGCGCACCTGCTATGGGATGTCGAGGAGTGGGCAGCGAGGGAGTGGGCAGAGTGCGGCGACGGTAGCGGCGGCGGCGACTTGGGCGGCAGCTGCGACGGCGGGTGCAGCCGTGGCGTTGACCGGGCTCGCGCGGAGGGCGGTCAGTGCAGCGGGCTTCTGAAGCGTACCCTGCAGGGAGGGCAAACAGGTGCGGCGCAGGCGGCTGACCTGGCGCATGCAGAGCAGGCGCTAGTGTCGCTGCTGCGCTGGGCTTCGCGGGGGGCTCATGCAGAGGGACCGGCGGGGCGCGCGGCGCTGGTTGAGAAGGAGGCGCGAGACGCGCTGGCGCACCTGCGCTCCAGGCGTCAGGCGTTGGGGCTGACGATTCAAGAGGCGAGGCTGGCGCACAATCAGCAGGAGCAGCAGCAGGAGCAGCAGCAGGAGCAGGAGCAGCAGCAGGAGCAGGAGCAGCAGCATGCGCAGCAGCAGCAGCAGCAGCAGCAGCAGCAGCAGCATGAGGAGCAGCAGCTTGAGGAGCAGCAGCAGCAGCAGCAGCAGCAGGCTCAGCCAGGACAAATCCAGCAGCAGTGGCAGCAATTGCAAGTGCAGGGGCAGTATGAGCAGCAGCAGCTGCAGTTGCAGCAGCAAGAGGAGGATGGTAAAGAGCAGGCAACTGCAGGGCCATCCACAACAACAACAGCCGGGCAGCCACGCCAGACGCACGCCGGCAGCTCTGTGGGCGGGCGGCGGGTCGCTGTGTGTGCAGCGTGCGGCATGGACGAGAGCGCCGCGCGGGCGCGGCTGCACCTGTGCCGCGGCTGCCGTCTGGCGTGGTTCTGCTCTGACGAGTGCTACAAGGGCTACTGGCCGGCGCACAGAGTGGCGTGCCGCGAGGAGCAGGCGCGGCGGGCGGGGCAGGCAGCTTCAAAGATGGGCCGTGTGTAGCACGTTGTCAACAGCTTTCTAGCTGGGAGGTCGTCAGCTCTCAAGCCTTGTTTTCATAACCTTCCTTTCGATTTGACATTGCTTCCACCTTCTCAAAACAACCCACGACCCCTTTTTGCGGCCAGGCGTGCGCACTGGCATCCCTCCAGCATTGATGCGGACGCGTCCCCATTCGACACGCAGCCCATCTGGCGCACCTCATCAAGCGCACACATTGATTCTGCATGTTACTGCCACATGCAGGAGTGCTCGCCCTGAAGCAAACCGCGACCTCCCATCATGGCTGTCACCCGCACCCGTGTTGATGGGGCAGGCTGTGACTCACATTCTGCGGCTTGCCACGGCGCACAACGTGCTGCTGCGGCGCTGCACTGAGTAACCCGACAGGCTGGCCCGACTCCGGCGCGCCGTGCTTGCCTTCATGACAACCACAAACCAGCGGGCCAGCTGAGGTGGCTGGGGGGCTGAGTTCTTCGACAGGCGCATGGCAAGGCATGGCGAAAAGCACGTAGGGTGGCATGGCTGGGGCGCCGCTGCTTGCTGCCGCGGCTGTGCTGCTCGATCATGTTGCAGCTCCTGGTCCACGCACCTCCACGATCACCACGTATCAAGACTCCGGATGGTTGTCTAAGCGTAAAAATAATACAAATAATTCTGTGAATACAAATACGGTGATCCGTCTTGCAGAGGCCCTCGCTTCCTAGGAAGGACCTTAGTCAGTCCGCGGGCTGGTACAACCGCGGTGGAATCCGCCCGAGCCAGTGCGATCGAACGCTGGCTTCAAAGTGCGCATTAACTCGATTGTATCGATTTTCTTGAACTTTGCAGCGCTTCTTTGTGCATCAGACGCTTGCGATCCGCGGGGTGCAGTAGGGAGCCGGCTTCCCCAGAGCAGCCCCCACTGCCACCAATCAAGGAGGAGCCAGACCTGCACAGCCAAACAGCAGTGGGGAGACAATGAGGAGCAGCACGATCCTGGCGCTCGCGGTGCTGGCGCTGTGCGCCGGTGAACGGGCGCGCGCGCTTGGGCGCAGCCGCGGCGCGTATGGGCCCACGAGGGCGCGGCAGCTGCTTGGGCCGCCGGGCCGGCCGGGCGTGCGCAGACGTCCAAAGCATGTCCGGCATGCCGTGACGTCGCTGCGCTTTGCTTCTCTGCTCTGGCTCCGCCCCCGCAAACTGCCTCCCACAAGCTCCCAAGGCCAGCTCTCACATAAGAAGCCAGCCGGCTCCCCCGCAGCCCCACCTGCCCACGCCTCCCCTTACACCCCCCACCAAACACGGCGAGCCGCAGCCCCCTCCCACGCGTGTCTTGCCCACCCACTAACATACACACCCGCAACACCCGGCCGGCCCCCAACTACCCAGGCGCCGCCAGCGCGTCGCGCGAACTGCTGGGCCACATACCCAAGGTGGACCTGCCCCCAATCACGGCCTTCCTGCCGCCCCTCGAGTCTGTGGATATGATGTCCCTCGCGCAGTTCCTCAACAAGACCGGCCTGCCCCAATTGAAGGAGCTCGGCCTGCCGCCGATCCAGGTGCGGTTAGGCGCGGCGCGCGGGCCGGGCCGCGGGCCGGGCCGAAGGGCGCTCGTCGCCGCGCCGGCGGGCGAGGGCCCCTGAGGCGCCGTCGTGGCTCGTGAGGGGCCCCGCGTCGGGCGCAGGAGCGCGAGCAGGCGGCGGCGCCGCGCGCTCATGCGCTCGCGCGGCGCAAGGGGCCGCGGCAGCTCGAGCTGCGGCAGCGGGGCTGTGGGGTGTGATCTCCCAAACGCTGTCGTGCCCCCAAATGCACAACGACAGGTTGCATTTCGCCACCCCGTCCCTCACACCCGTGCTTGTTCACACCCTTAACCGACCATCCATGTTCACGCTGAACTTCACAGGAGCTGCTGAAGCCCGTCGGTGGCGCCAGGAACTTTGGAAAGCACGCTCACTCCAAGGAGGAGATCCTGGCGATGGCCAACGCCACCATGATCAAGGTTGGCGGGACAAAAAAACAAAAACCAGGAAACCACAACCATGAAGCTTATTGGGGCCATTACGAGGGGCAATTAGCATCGGTTTGCAATCTGTGTGGGGATGGTGATCACCGCGGTGATGGCGTCATGTGATGATGACGTGTGCGTGGGGGCGGGCGGGCGGCGCGACGCGTGCGCAGGCAGCGACTTGTGTCCAGTGCCGATTGTAGATGCTGCTTTCTGCGTGTGTGGTGGGTAGTTGAGAGTGCAGCAGAGCAGGAAGGGGTGTGCGCGGGGCCAAGGGACAAAACGCCCATGAGAGACGTCAAGCATGGGCCAAGGGTGGGCATAATGGTGGTGGCAAACGCGGCGTGGCGAGGGCATGCGGCATGTCCAAGGGGTGGCGCGGCGTGGAGGGCGTGTCTGGTGGCGTGGCGTGCACTTTTACAGCACGCCTGCTCAGGTCTGGGAGGGCAATCAATCTGATCTAGAGCGGCAGGCGCCCTGCAAAGCAGCTCATCCCGCAGCAAACGCGGCTTGAGGTGGCCCTGCTCGGCGCCACGCCTGGCAATCGGCCGGGCGCGGCCGGCAGCCGCTCTCAGGCGCTCGGCTGGCTGGGGCGCGCGAGCGCTGCCCGGCTTACCAGATGCGGTGGGGCCGTGAGGCGCCCTCACGGCCTGCAGCGGCTGCCAAGCTGCTAGCAGTGTGGGGGCCGACCACAGGCGGCAGCCCCGCCAGCGCCACCAACGCCCAACTAAGCCTCATCCCCTGACGCCACAGCTCTCCTGGCCTTACCACTCCCCTTGATGCTCGCACACAAGCCCACGCTCCAATATAAAAGCATGGAAGAGGCACACATGGGTTGCTGGCCTAAAATTGCGATGTCACCCAAAATTCTAGTGCCACAGCTCAATCCCAATCATCCAATCCCTCCCATCGCCCCTGCCACGCAGGTCATCACCGAGATGCTGCCCCCGGAGCTGAAGGCCTTCGCCGGCGTGCAGCTGCCCAAGATCAAGATGGGCGGCGTCATCCCCCAGATCAAGCTGCCCCCGCTGCCCGCCAACCTGCCGCCGCTCGCCGACATCCTGCGGGCGCTGCCGCCGATCGACGCAGCCGGCCTCAACGCCGCGCTGCCCGGGCTCAGCCTGCTCAACCTCCCGCCTCCCGCGGAGATCGTCAAGGCCCTCCACACGGTCGGGGGCCTGCTGGCCACGCTTCCGAAGCCGGAGGGGCTCCCGAGCCTCGACGAGATCATTCGGATCGTGAACTCGTTCAGCGGGACGGTCAACAAGGTCGTGTCCGCGCCGGGCACGGAGCAGCCCGTGATTGGCTGATGACGCGGATCGTTCCAGAGACCGACGGACGGCGGCCCAGTGCCGTTGCCGCCAGGCGGCCGGCGGGCCGGGCCGCTTTTGGCGGTTTCTGTGTGTTTTCAGGGCTGCCCCGACGCCGCGATTTCGCGTGGCGGTCGGGCGCAATGACCGTTGTTGCCGCCGTCGCTGGCGTCCATGACCCAACCCATTCATTCTTAGCTTCCTGAGTACCATCCTTTGCCACGTCCCTGGTTGTTTCTTGCCCCCTTCTCAGTCCCTTGCGTCGCGCCCTGCCACAGCGCGCACCGCGCATGCCGCGGCGCTGCGGGGCGGCCCTCTGCTGCCCCGCGCGCGCCCAGGGTCACGCGGTTCGCGCGAGGCTCATTGCGACCTCACGCCCCCCTGTTTCATAATCCTGCGCTGCCTCTTCCATGCGTTATTCGATTTGGCACCGCATGAATTCGCCCACCCTGCCTTTATTAGATGTGCCCCCTCCCCCCACGCCCCCTCCAAGTTCTCTCGTGCCCACACATACTGCAAAGTGTAACCGGGTCGGATCAAAGGCCGACACACAAGGGACTGAAAGTTGAAAAACAGCAATGACACGAGAGCTGGAGCCGAAGTAGCTGGGTGTTAAAAAACTTGCAGGCAGCACTTCGCCAGAAGAAAAGGACGGCGTGCCGCCCTGCAGTAGTTCGAATATAACAGTGGGTGCTGCGACAGGCGCACGGCGGCCCAGCCAGAAGGGGGCCGGCCTGGCACGGCCGTGCCTGCCCCTTTTGGCAAGGCAAGACCTGCCTCCTCCCCGCCTGCCCGTCTGCCGCGTGGGCAGGCGCCGGCCTCGCCCCGACGCGAGGGGTGCGCCTGCTTGCCCCCGGCCACGCGGGTCGCAGGGCTGGCACCGGCTCAGTAGGGGATTTTGTTTTGCAGCGACTGCGGGTTGGTGCGAGCAGCACAGAACGGCATGTTCGTGTTCATGTGTGTGCGTGTGTGTGTGTGTGTGTGTGTGTGTGTGTGTGTGTGTGTGTGTGTGTGTGCACGCGCGTGAGTGATCGTGCTGCGAGTCGAAGATGAGGGGTTGAAAAAGGGCCAGAATGTGGTGCGGCGCTAGGGCTTGGCTGGACAGGCCCGCTGCGTGGTACAGTTGAGATGAGGACGGCTCGAGCGATCCTCCAGGATGAACAATAGGGAGGGTGTCGTGCCAACCAGCGCTGCTTGCAGCAGCTGACGTCGCCGTGCCACCCAGATGCAAGCACCCCGCGCAATGGCACCCCATCCTGTTGTATGC